AGGATAGGCTCCAAAGCTACACAGAGAAACACTGTGTTTCTAGAAAAGCTCTTCTAGTCAGAAAGGGCTGAGAGAAGCACACGTGGCTAAGAGAGAGAGGCCAGGTCTGGAGTCCCCTCTGGTAGCCTCAGAAACCAGACATGATTAAACTATGCAATGCTACATAGAAAACCATCGTGGCTTTCCAGTCTCAAAATGACCCCCCCAAAATCTCATTTTATTATGTCCCTCATTCTAACAAATGGAACAAAGAATTTTTTTTAACACCCTAAGAAGTTGTTACATGGAAACCATGAATGAAGCCATAATGGTTAAGACAAATAATGAGAATTCGTGAGGAAAACAAGGTCATGGAGCAGATGAAAACTGCAAAACAACCTTGAGCATTAGAAATCAATTTGAGTTTTCACTAAAAGCGAATGAACAAGAAATGAAAAAAATCAGAACAAATCAATAGATAGCTGTGAAAAGATAGCAAAATGCAGAAAACAATATTTCATTTTAAAATGTTTAAATTAGAAAAATGAAAGGACCAGGGAGACTGTAAAAGTCACCAGAAGGAAACCGGGATAGGAAGGAAGAAATCCAACAGGAGGAAAATGAAGCAGAAGTAGGATTTGAGAATTCTGTGTGGCAGGCAGAAGGGTTACTCCCAACGATGTCTCCACCCCAATCCCTGAAACATGTGAAAATGTTGCCTTGAAAAGCACAGGGACTTTAGAGATGTAAGTACATGAAGGGGGTTCCATGAGGGTACTCAGTGTCCTGGGACATAAGACAACAGATGCAGAGGTCAAAGCTGCTGAGCAGGCCATAAGCCATGGAATGCAATCAGTCTCAAGATGCTAGAGGCAGGCCCAGCTGAAGGGAAGTAGGACGATAGAGACATCTATCTTGCCCTAACCACTTCCTGTACTCCTTTCCCCTACACCCTAGCCACTTCCTATACTCCTTTCCCCTTACTTCCTACTACCAGGAAATAAAAAAGCAGTCTCTACACATTGCCATCACCACAGTATTCTGTCCAAGCACATGGAACAAAGGGACCACAGAATAAACCTTCCAAAGCCATGAGCCCAAACAAATATTTCCTCCTTTTAGTTGTTCATTTTGAGGGACTGGAGAGATGGCTCAGTGGTTACGGGCCTTCTTCTGGCCTCTGCATGTATGTGGTACAGAGACAGATGCATGTAGACATGACACATACACATTTTCAAACAAAAAGGATACCTTAAAAGTTGTCTAAGTCTTCTGTCACAGTAATAAAGTCAAGCCATATGTATTAAACACAAAATAAAGCACTGCTTTAAAAGACTTTTATGGGAGGAAAATGTGAGCTAAATGTTATGTTCAATCAAAAAATTTCAAACAGAAAAGCACAGATAGTGCTAGTCTTCAAAGATTAGCTAGTCTTCAAAGACAATCTATCCTATGATCATTTTCCTGCAAACCTACAAAAAAATGAGCCCCATGCTTACAACTTTGCAGATATTTTAACCAATGTTTAACTAAATGGAAATGTTAAAAAATGGTAACAGCAACAAAAATAGTAGATAAATTTTATTATTTCAGTCATTGAAAAAGTACAAGATGAATAATGATAGAGACACACTTTTCACATGCAATTAAGAAGTACAGTAATATTACTTGAAGCCAAAAATAAAGAAGTTGAAGTTCAAGGCATGAAGTTTGTCTAAGACTTAAGAGTACATTTTAGACTAATAAATGAAGTAAATGGAATATACATAATTTATGATCTAAGGATTAACACTAAAACACTAGAGACTAATCTGTGATAGGAAGTCAATAGGTAGCATCTAACAAAAGAGGTAACTAAAAGTATTTTTAGGGTGGCATAAATTATTAGATCTAAATATCAAAGCTTCCTAAACATCAAAGAATACAAACAGGAAAGATTAAAAATTAAAAATACACAACCCAATGAATTTCACTAAAAATATTCAATATGGAGAATATGCTATAAAATAATATGATAAACATAAACTGGAAACAGCAATCATTGGGCAAATGTAAACCAGGTAAAAAATAATCCTTTCTGATTGTCCTTGTGAGGAGTGGAGGAAATGCAAATTAATTTGAAAGGAAAGAGTCTAAACTAAAGACTCTATTTAGGGGATGAAAGTTTTCCTCCCCAGGAGAAGGCACACAGTAGCTACTACAACTGTGGTCCAAGCATGGCCAGACTATGTTTAGTGCTGGCAGCAGAACTTGGCAGCATCCTCAGTGTGGTACTGATTTTGCAGAAATAGAAGATGTAAAAATTGGGGGAGATGGTCAAGGAAGCTTGCACACAGGTTCCACAAAGACACTAAAGCTGGGCAATGTGTGATTGGGTCAGATTCCTGGGGGCCATCATATGTGTTTGGGAAAGTGGAGTCTAATTTGCAGTGGAGACCTCAGGAGTCTGAAAATGCCTGGACCATGTAATAGCTGCCAACAAATGGAAAGCAGGAACAGAGGAGAACATAGGCCAAGAAAGAAGCCACATGGACTGGAGTTGGCAGGTCTAGAGGGAGAGGGCTTCCCAAGGCTATTGGAGCCCAGGTGATTACATCCAGAACTGTACGACCTGGTATTTGACTTACTGTGTTTCAGTTTTGATCCAATCTTCCCTTGCCATCCTTTTGTTCCTCACTATGTCATTTACATTGGAAGTACATTCATTTTTTAATATGAGTGGGGCTAACAATTAAGAGATTACCTTGCATCTCAGAAGAGACTTAGGATTTGGGACTTCTGAACACTGTTGGGACTGTGAAAGACTGAAGTAAAATAATCATTCACTGTGAAGATTTGTCACTCAGATTGGTTTAATAAAAAGCTACATAACCATCTGGAGGGCAGGTTGGAAAGAAGGCAGACCCTTTAGAAAACAGGTCCTGGCAGAGGTGTGTAGGTCTCTAGAGACCAGGCCATTTTAGGGGATGGGTCCGGGAAAGAGCGGCTAGGTCCTTGGAGATCAGGCCATTTTATATCACTCTTGGTGCCTCCTTTCTTGCACCTTCTCTGCCAAGGTGAAAGGACCCGCCATCAAGCATGCAGCCGTTGTGCCTTCCCACTATGATGAGTTGTGTCCTGTGAAACCTGAGTCAAAATTAACCTCTCCCTACAAGTTGTTTTTGGCCCCACCGACAAGTAACTCACTCAGTCACAAATCTGATGCCATGTCCTTAGATCTTGCTAAGTACACTTATTAATCAGATTGTTTGGTAGAGGCTGAGTCCTCAGATTTTGCTGTGTTTACAATTCTGTTACTTGAAATAACACATTATTCTTTCTTACTTTATGTCTGTAGTTTTTTCACCACTTTATACATTGAGTAGACATTTTAGTAGAATGTCAAGTAGCCCTGATAGAACTGACTTTCCCTACCTATCTTAGGAACCCTATCTTGGGAAGAAAATATTTATTATTTCCCTATTAAATATACATTATAACTTTGTAATGGAGTGTGTTTGCAAGCCAGTGGTGATCTCAAAGCTTTCTTCTTAGAGTTTTATGGCGATGGGCTTTTGTTGAACACATTCCCTAATTTATTTAGAAGGTCCTGTGTCTAGGCCAATGATGACGATGCATAAGGATCATCTTCCTAATTATCACCTTGCATCCGGGACATATTTGTTTTATGTGAAGTATGCCTTTGGGGCATTTATTGACTGGTTAGAGAATGTCAGGAATTTTTATCTCAATTTAAATAAGAAGTATTAGTCCATTTCTTTTTTAATAAAAGTGCCTTTAGGGAGATAGAAATGATGTCTTTGGAATCTTAATGAAATGAGCTAACAAGCTTGGAATTCAGTCCTTAAAGTCTATAAATTCTGGTAATTATGGGATTGTTTGGTTGTTTTCATTGAAGACTTAACAGAACTTTATAGGTATTAACCATTTTTAAATATGGTTTTGCTTTGCTGGGTTTTTTTGTACTACTTTGTCTCTCCCAGATTTCCTTCTAAACTGTGTCAGTCCTTTCCTTTTCTTCTTACTTATTTTTTCTATCTTTAAAAAAACAGATTATTTCACTGACTTCTGTGTTATTTTTATTTTCTAACTATTCTCCTGGGTTACTGTTTCTTCTGCATCAGGACCACTAAGTTTACAGAGGAAAGTGAAGAGACTGACAGAGCATAAGGAACGCTTGCAACTGAGGAGACTCACAGTGCCTAGAGCCTTGAGTACAAGGGCAGAGGCCAAAGCACAGCTGGAGTGACTCTAGAATCTGACAGTATCATTGAAGAATCACAATATCTGAAAAGAACAAAAGAGAAAAAATGCAGCAGTGAACTTAGGGGGTAGGACACAAGTCACTCAACATAAAAATAGAAGAAATAAAAGGTTTGAAGACATTGAACAGAAAATGAAAGAATTTTCTTTCAGTTTTACATACATAAAATTGGCTTCCCAAGAGAGTTGATCAGGGAAGAGGGAAGAATTTAAGACAAATACTAGTAGAAGTCCCACAGACGTGTGCTTGATTTTGGTAAACAACAATCCAGAGATATAGCACACTTAGTGAAAGTCAAGTAACATAAATTCTAAGAAACAACTATATAACCACATGGTGATCCACTGGATATAAACAAACAAACAAACAAAAAAACAATGAGAATGAAAGAAACTAGTAAGAAAAACAAGAAAAAGCTAGATCCACTTCATTCAAGATAATAATAAGGAAAATGTCATTCTTGACTTCACAGCATGAAGAAAGTATGTCATAAGACAATATACTGTTGGGGCTGTGTCTTAGTTATGGTTTCTATTGCTGTGAAGAGACACCATGACCATAGCAACTCTTTTTTTTTTCTTTTTTTTATTTGCGTTACAATCATGATTGTATTACATGACAATCCCAGTTCCCTTCTCCCTCCCCTCCTCCCCTACCACCCCCCCAACTAAAACCCTACCTATCGCATATCCTTTCTTCTAATCTATACCACAGCAACTCTTATAAAGAAAACATTTAACTGGGGCATCTGGCTTACAGTTTCAGAGGTTCAGTCCATTATCATTGGGGATCATGGTGGTGTGCAGACAGACATGGTGCTAGAAGAGTAGCTGAGAGTCCTACATCTTGCAGGCAACAGGAAGATGACTAAAACACTGGGCAGAATCCCGAGCATAGGAAACCTTAAAACCCACCCACACAGTGACACACTTCTGCTAACAAGATCATATCCACTCCAACTAACCACACCTTGCTATGAAATTATGGGGGACAATTACATTCAAACTATCACAGGCTGAGAGGTTTTTTTTTTTTAATCAAGTTATTTATTCTAAGAAAGATAATCTGCAAAATATGAAAATGAAATATAAGCACCTTCACATACATAAAGGTTGATAAAATTAGTTATTGGGATGCTATACTTCAAAAAAATAGGTCTTACTTTTAAGTTCTAGTATTTCTTCCGTTTCTTAGGGGAAAAAATGGTATTCAAAGACTGAATGTCTGGAACAGCAGTAAATATGCCAATGAATAGGAAGGCCAATGTCTGACTTATTTAAAGGACATCTGGCTATTTAAATCTAAAAGAAAAATCTGAATCATGAGGTTTATGACACATTCTAATAAAAATAGCTAAAAGTGGGGTGTAGGCAAAAAATCTATTTCAATCTTATTCAGTTATATATGAGGTAATAGATGATAAGATTCATTTGTGATAAGCTGAAATCAGTTAAGAGCATACATTGCCATTCTTAAGGAATGCTCTGGGGGACATTAAGATATGTATAAACAAAAACCAACAGGGAGAAATAACAAAGCATAAGAGGCTAAATATCTGCCTCTGTAAAATGCAACAAAAATGGCAAAAAAAAAAAGTTATTAGAATCAGACTTTACATCAAAATCTCAAGGTCCGGAAGGCAAAGCTGTGAGCCTTCTGGCAGTTTAATTTACCCCTAATCCCATCCTCAACTACCCTGTGGTTACAATCTAGAATGCTCCTGCCCCATTCATGGGTAAAACATTTAATCTCCAGTGTGATCCTATTGGGAACCGGGTTGTAGTAAGAAGGGCCTTTAGGTTGTGAATGCTTTGTCATTATGGATGATGGGTGTTCCTGTGAAAGGGGCCTGTGGGAGAAGACTCACTGCTTGTCTGCCATGTAAACACAGGACATCATTCCCCTGTCTTTTGCCACATTCAAACATTAAAAGGATCCACAGATGCTGGGTGTGGTGGCCACACTTTAATCCTAGCACTCTGGAAGCAGAAGCAGGTGAATTTCTGTGAGTTAGAAGCCAACCTGGTCCATGTAGTAAGTCCCAGATATTGCAGTGTTTGTGTTCAAGGACTACTTACATGGAAACCTAACACTATGTTACAAAGTCTACATCTTCCCCTCACTTCATCTCATTGTTCAGGCGTTGGGTCATCTCCCATCCTCAAAACAAAAATGACTATAGCCTAAGATTCTGAAAGAGAAAGACTGTATTTACATAACTTTATTATAGCAGGTTGTTAGGATTATCCTACAGCTAGCTATTATTATAAAAGCTTCTTGCCTAATTTAAAGATTAAACTTCATCATATGCTATGAAAAAAATTGTAGTACATTTCAATTTCAGGATTCCTCATGGTTTCAGCATCCACAGTGACTCTTGCAATGTGTCCCTGGTAGTCAAAGATGGACTACTGGATTTGTTTGAAGCTATTCTCAGAATCACACAAATGCAAAGAAATCCACACTGAGACTAAAATGAAATGACAGAATAAAGATTGAGAGAGGGTCACAAAAGAACCCAGAGTAAAAGAAGCAGGTAAGAAAAAAAAAAGCAAACTAACCTGACAGCTACTGAAGAACAAATAATGATGATCCTGAAACATAAGAAACATCTTCAATTTCAGTTTCAGTAAAGAAATGCTCAGCAGTTAAGAGAGCTCTTGCAGAGGACCTGAGTTCAGTTTGCAGCACCTATGTTGGGTAGCCCGAAATCATCTTTATCTCCAATTCTAGAGAGTCTGACGCTTCTTCTGGCCTCCAGAGATAAACACACACACACAGAGAGAGAGAGAGAGAGAGAGAGAGAGAGAGAGAGAGAGAGAGAACTCTTTTGGAGACAGGATTTCTCTGTGTAGCCCCGAGTGTCCTAGAACTCACTCTCTAAACTAGGCTGGTCTTGAACTCAGAGATCCACCTGCCTCTGCCTCCTGGGTGCTGGGATTAAAGGTGTGCACCACCACTGCCCAGCCATTAAAAAACATTTTTAAATGTGTTCATATAAATCAGGGGATATTTACAAGATGATTTGTCTCTGGGATGGTCTTAGGAGTCTTAAACAAAAAATGAAAATTTTCCTTAACAGTGGAGTAGACAAATAGTATCGTTCTATTCATATTATGGAATAGTGAGCACCAGTTAAGCTATAGCTTTTGTTTCCTTAAAACAGGACTAAGTCAAAAGAGCAAGAAGATGTACTGACCAATTCTTTCCTCGGTATGAACACAAAATGAATTGTTCAAAATGTTCTTCAGAAAAATAATATATGTGGCAGGCAATAATCCCATCTTCTCAGATGGCTACATGTGTATTTGAGAACTAGCCTACATGCAACATGTAACTCACAGGGCAGATGAGAATTTGGAGACAAGATGACCTTAAGGAACTGAGTTGAGGAGCTAGGCAGGTGGTCCTGGTCCAGTCACAAGGGTCCTTTACTCGGAGCCTGAGGAGGTGTCAGAGATGCCGTGCGGCTGGCTTCAAAGATGGACTATATGTGCCACAAGCCAAGGAGTGCAGGGGCCTCTGGGAAAAGAAAGAAACAAGCATAGTCTCTTCCACAGCCTCAGGAAGAAAATGAAATCCTCCTGATGCTTTTCATTTCAGCCCAGAGCCACCCATGCCTCACTCAAAATTTTTAGCACTGTAATATAGTATATTTGTATTGCTTTAAGCCCTGTGGCTTCTGATAATCTATTATGGTAGAAACAATATAAGTGTACTTAAAATATTTTTTCAATGTCCATGAATGAATTAGCACAAAATCTAGAATCAGAAGATGTGCTGGGAAATATTTTAGTTCTCAAAAGGTAAAACATACCATTGAGCTCTTCACTGGTGTGCTTTACACTGTGGGTCTATGTCTATAAATGATGTGTTCTTTATGGTGCCGGGACTGGATGCAAGGCCTTGCAAATGCTAGGCAAAGCCTCTGCCTACTGAGTTATACATATCCCAGTTATAAAAAGAAAAAACTTTTTCAAGCGGCTGGAGAGATTCCTCCATTGGTGAAGTGTTTTCCAGACATGCATGAGGATCTGAGTTTGATCCCCAGGAGCCATATAAAATGCAGGATGAGGCGGTGTGTATTTGTGATCTCAATGCTGGGGAGAAAGAAATGGGTCTCAAAAAATAAGGTAGACACCTCTGACCTGAACACACACACACACACACACACACACACACACACACACACACACACACACACACACCTTTAAAAAGCCAAAGCAGTAGACAAGGACATCTGCTGCAGAAGGAGCATGGATTTCAGGACAGGACATATAGGCATCAGATTTGGTTGTGGACAGACTCACTGGACCTATGATTAAAGAGTGTCAGGACAAGAGGAGGTTAGACAGACTGGAGAAAAGTGGCTTTCTATAACCTTTATCCTTTACAACAGTTTGGCTGTGTGACTGTCTAATGGCTGTATGTCTAGAATGGAACTTACCTATATTTGAACCAACTTGCTGGAGCCTCAGCCGAAGTGACGGCCCACTCAGGAAGGAGATTCCAGCCCCAAGACTGTATGGAAAAAGCCCCAGTGGCAGAAACTGTTGTAAGAGAAGCTTCTAGAATTTTTATAGCAGAAGCAGGATCTCAAGTACAAGGGACCTGTGTGGCATGCACTGCCTCCTGAAAAGCCCACAGTTTTGTCCCTGGTCCACCAGTACTGCTCCTCTGCTATACCCATGCAAATGCCAGCCCTTGGTGTCTGTCTCTAAGCACAAACAGCCAACAGAGAGCAGTGGCCACGACCAGTTAAGTAAAGACATATTTGCCCTTTTCTCCACATCTCTCTTCCCTGCTTACCTCTAACCCAGTAGGAGCTGAATCACAGCTAGGAGAGGTGGGGGAGGGAATGACAGATCTGTGTCCAGTCTTTATTCCAAGTCTCTTGAGCCAGAAGCTTGCACTACAACTGGGAAAAATAAATGTTTCAAAAAAATGATGAATTAGAAGTATAAACTTCAATCGCATTTAATAATGGGACGTGACCTGATAATTATGGAATCTTCCAAAGTTGTCATCAAGGAAAGGGGGAAACCTATTTGGCACAGGAAGCTATAAAACTGTAATTGGAAAAAAGAAAACTATGAAAATTTAGACTGATAAAATATTGCATACATATTTGTAGGCACATATCGAATGGTCACGTGATTCTATATAAGCAAAGAATGGAGTGTCCATGCTCCAAGACAGTAGAAGACAGAGCTTTCTACATCAAATGTTATATCTCAGACTCTTTATTCTTTAACCTTAGGCAATACACTACCATACTACATTCGCCTACAAAATGAATTCCTTTAAAGCACTGACTATTGGTTCAAGCTTTAAAAAGTGTTCATAAAGCAGGACCTTTTCATACGGTTGATGTGAAGAATAAGACAAATAACAAATACAAAGCCATCCTGTCTGACATGTGAACTTAAATAGCTAGGGCTCATGGACGGGCTGGAGAGATGGCTCGGTCAATTAAGGGATTACCATAGAAGTGAGAGGACCTGAATTTGACCCCCAGAACTCACATAAAAGTTGAGTGTAATGCCAGATGCTTGTAGGAGAAGGATCAATCATGGCAACTCAGTAGCCAGACAACCTAGCCGACTCAGTGTGCTACACAACTCCAGGCCAGCGAGAGAGCCTGTCTCAGAAAACAAACAAAAAGGGTAGACAGCACCTGAGGAATGGCACCTGAGGTTTTCTCTGTCTTCTACATGCATGCCCATATATGTGCACCTACAATACATGCATTCACATACACAAATGGGCGTCAGAATGCACACTATGCACACACACACACACACACACACACACACACACACACACACACACACACACATTTCAATTATTAAGGGTCAGAAGCATTGCTGATGGAGATAGGGAACAACAAATGTAAAGAAAGCAAGAGACAGAAGCATGTTGACCTGCAGGGATGCCATGGGACGGGGAGAGGAAGTGTGCAAAGGTGTTAGCATGGCTGGGACATAAGTTTTTAAAGGGAAAGTAGGAACTAGAAAACCTTCATGCCCTACTTCAAATGCTATCATCAACAGAAAAAGTCTTAGGCTGCTTAGTTAACATCCAGCACAAACCTTTTGATCCTGGCCGCCTCCCCAAATCCAAATTCTACCATTCCACTTGGATCCTTCACAGCTTGAGTTTTCTGGAACTCATTTTTGAATCTCCATGCAATCCTTCTTATTTGAAGCCATCTTATTATTCTTCCTTCTAAAATGTAATTCAGCCACTATCATCACCATGAAGCCTTGTAATTCGTTGTTATTGTTATTACTCAACAATATATATATTGGGTCCTCTGTACACAGTACCAAACAAGATGTTGGGCTGCAAATTTGAGGAGTTCAGAAAGCAGAGACCCTGCTACAGAAGCAAAAATTCAACGAGAAAAGCTTCATTAAACAGACAATTACCAGGGTGGTATTATGACTGAGTTCAGAAAAGGGCACTGAGGGAGTTTTGGACTCCAAACCCTAATGTCAGGAGCTTTCCTCACACCCCAGATCCTCTTCTCATCCTGTGTTCCCAGTGCCTCCATTCATATTATTGGAAGGAAAAGAGAAGGAAGGTAAGTCAAAATGTATTTGACTCCCAGGATGTTCCATAATCTACAGTAAAGTACTCTACCTGAGCATAACCCCAGACGACATTATCATGGTTTGCTTCTCCATTCTTGTGATAAACACTGACTTTCTACTTAGGGTTTCTACTGCTATGATGAAGCACCATAACCAAAAGCAAGTTGGGGAGGAAAGGGTTCACTTGGCTTACACTTCAGCATTGCTGTTCATCACGTAAAGCTTGAGAGGACAGTGGCAGAGGGCAATAAGCTGCCATCGTCATAGAAGTCCCTCCACAGGCAACAGACAGAACTTTTATGGGACAGCTGTGTCGATGTCAACAGATTTATCAATATAAAGCAGATGGCAGCAGGCAGGTAGGTAGCTGGCATCAAAGACTTTGGAACAAGATGGCAGATACAGGCATCTCAGTGCAATGAGGACCTCACTGCAATTAAGGACTTGGTTGATACAGTGGTGTTGCTGTCCTACACTTTATGAGTAGACATCCAGAAGTATAAGGTCCAAGAAACACAGAAAGGATCTGTAGCCAGGATGCAGGCCAGTGCAGCTCAACTTGCAAAGTTGACCCATATCAAGGCCACAAGATATTCATGCAACCCCTGTTTGTATTCATTGTGCCTGCAACTCTCCCATCTCTTTACACTAGGGAACCCTGAGAGAGTTTGCAAAGAGCTGTTCTCCCTCAGCTATGAGATTCAGAGAGCACTAGTGCAGGAAGTAAGGCACCATTATTAAGGGAAGCACCAAGAGTAATGCTAAATCCAATGGAGTCTTCTTGGCCCCTTGAATTCTTTTATCTCACAATCTGACAGACTACCTGCAAATACTCATAGCATTTGGATACTCCTGAATGCCTTCTCAACAGTGACTCTGATCACCTTAGAAACCTTTAAATAGCTTCCCCAGTCTAGCTCTCCTCACTGCAGTGTGCAAAGTCATCCCAGTCTCTTTCTGGCTCATTTTCTAGTTGCTTTTCTATATTAAGCAGCCCTTTATCAAGTTACCTTACATACATACTGCCACCATCTTCTTGCACAGACTATGTCCTTATAGCAGTCCTTTTCCAATTCTTCTAGTGTACCTTCAAGTCACCT